AGAGGTTCCGAAAAGAAATGGCTCAATTCACTTTCTATATAAACAGTAAATTAACTATGATCAGAATTGTAATTAATTCTGGAGTTTTTGTGCTTTCCAGTTTACGCTTTTGTATTGCTTATTGCACTGGAATAAGAGTTCTTTTCAAAGCGTTCAATTCAAGGTCATGCCAGCAACGTGTATACAGCCCTTAATTTAAAATGAACAAATATATAATAGCTTAGGCTCTAAATACTTGGGTTCTCTATCCTGTGTTCTCCCAAGGCAAACAGCACCAGCCAAGATGTATCTGCTCTCTGTCCTTAGGTTCCATCTACTTCCTAATGCCCTCTTCTGTTGGCAGGAGACTTTCACAAATCTACCAATCTAAAGATAGCCACCAATGCCATTCTATAGCGGCTTGGCAAGGGCTTTGTACAGGCTGAACCTGCATAAACCGGAGTTCTCTAGTTCGGCAACATCCGTGGTCTGGAAGGACCATGGATGTTCCAGGACCAGAGTCCCGGTGCCCTGCAGGGGGTAGAGAGACTGGGAGCCCAGTGTGTGTAGAGGAAGGAGGGAGAGAGGGGGAGGGGGACTGGGAAGCTGGGTTTGCAGCTCAGCTGGGCTGGGAAGGGGCAAGAGCCAGCATGTGGCTCAACTGGGCTGGGGACAGGGGCAGGAAACTTGGTGGGAGGGGCGGGGAAGGGCAGGGCATGTAGCTGGAACCAAGGGGGCCAGAAATGACCTCCCCTGGTCTGGAAAAATCCCTTATCCAAGACCAGTCAAGTCCCAAGGGTGCCGAACCAGAGAGGTCCAATCTCTATTTGGGTCAATTCAAATTTGTTATCCTATTTTCATTAGCTCTTGCTTATCTACTCTCTTCTCCCTTCCCCTTTTATTTTGGCAGATTGACTGATTTTTCCTCGGGAATGTTTGACCGAGTTTATTTAATAAATGTTCTATGTGGTTACACCATTCTAAACACAGCCAAGAATGATACAGTATAGACAGATTTTTGCCACTCAACTTAGAATAGGGCCTTACTTCATAAGTAGTCACTACAAAAACTATAAAAATTTCAAGCAAAGGTTCTACTTAATGTGAGTAAAACTGGTGAAACTGAGCCTCACATAAACAAAATACATGGTTAGGATTATGAATGGAAGATAACTTCAAACTATTACCTTATGGCTATGCCAATAACTATTTTTTGTTAGGTCCACTTTTTCATTGATTATGTAGAATTGCTATAAATTAAACAGCTTCAGCCTTGCAGCATGACTTAAATATCGGACTTTAGACCATCTCAGTGTATTTGGATTGTGTAAACTGCACCCTAACGTGAAAAATGGGGTTCAGACTAGTGATGTGAAAGGTTAACTGGTTAACTAGTAAGCATCCTTAATGGGTGATGCTTACTGGTTCTGCTTCACTGGTTGGGGTTGGAGCAGCTTAGGGATGTTAAATTTCAATTAATCATCTAATCGAGTAGTTGATGGAGCCCCCGGCACTTGTAGATTTGAAATGGGGAGACGTGGGTTCCCTCTGCCTCTCTCCCTCTGAAATGGACAGGAACTGCCCACGGCTCTTGTAGGTTTCAAAGGGAGAGAGGCAGTGGGAACCCGCAAAGCAGTCCCCGCTGGCACAGGTTCCCCTCTGTCCTCTTCCTTTGAAATGTACACGAGTCACAGGCGGCTCTTGTACATTCAAAAGGGAGAGGAGTGGCAGGGGGACCAGCGCAAGTGGGACTGATTCAATCGTTTCCCCGCTGCCCTTTGCCCCTCCCCACAGATACGGTGTTGGGCAGAAACGGTGTTGGACTCTGGTTTTCAGACGGCCTCCCCCTCAGCACTGGCTCATGCTCCCCCCCCTTGCTGCCTCTCTCTGACAGAGGCAGCAAAGCGGGGGGAGTGTGGGAAACGACTAGTCAAGTTCCTACTTGACTACTCTATACGCATTTCTTATCGGGTAGTTGGCTAGTCGCTTACATCCCTCGAGCAGCTCCCCGTGGGCAGGAGGCTACTCTAGCCCTAGGGGGCCTTCCACCGATAAGGGCACCTCTGGGCATACAGAGCAGCTCTTGTCCATGGCGGCTCAGGCGCGTCACAGGCTGGGGCTCCTCCAGGTGTGCAGAGCTGCTCCTGTCTGTGGTGGACCGGGGAATAGGCACAGGCAGGCGCTGCTCTAGCAGGGTTGGGGTAGCCCCTGCCTGCAGCAGAGGGCTGTTCCAGCCTGACCACGGGAGGGGAGATGCGTCCCCCCCTGAAAGGTTAACCAGTAAAACTTCACGTTAAACTCCCCATCGGTATTAGGGCTATCACAATATATGAAATGTAACTTCCCTATAAAGAGCGTGTCTTAGCTTTGAAGCTTCCAACACATGTTTCTGTCGAACACTCACAGGAAGCATAGAAGATAAAGCACTGGGACCATTTTGCACACAGAGAAATGTCAGGACTTTGGAAACTGCATGTTCAATTTTGATGAAAGGTGCACAGGTGCTTAAAGGCCCAGGAATGAGTAATTCATGTGTCCTGTCAGCACAGCTGATACACTGTACCCAGATGGGTGCCTGATGAAATCTTGGTAGGTGATAAAAGCCACAAATAGCCCTGCGGCCTGTATTCTAGGGATCTAATTCACACACGTGGACACCGCTGCAGAGCAAATGGCTGGGTGTGTGGATGGGGTGACACACAGATGCAGTGCCTGAGGAGCAGACCAGAGCAGGAGCTGTGACTCAGAGTCTCCTACTCTTCCCTTGCTCTAAGTAGGAAGTTGCTTCATCCCTGCCTGTGGAGCAGCTTTCTCCCCCTATGTATCTAAACAGCTGTTCCCGCATGCAACTGTGGGTGTGGAGTGACCAGGGCTCCTTCCCTGACCAATTATTCATAGCAGTGAATATGAGGAAAACAGCTCTCCTCACCACAGCTGGAGTTGCAATCAAAGTAGGTCCAAGCAGGGGAGGACTGGGGGCCTTATTTCCTGTGCGGCCAAGGGTAGTGATAATCGGGCCTGTATGGATTCTACAGAACCACACAGACCCCAAGAGGCAGATTCAGATCTCTTACTCACCGTGAGTAATCCCTTATTCCTGGAGTAGTCAGCTGGAAGTCAGGGATGCTATTTGTGAAATGCAGAGCGCTACACAAGGCAAATAAGAGTACGAGAATTTGGGTTCACACCAGTAACTTATTCCAGCTTTTTGATGAAATAAGTCGGGTGAAACGAGAGCTACTCAGAGAGACAGCAAGCGAACAGAGAAAGGACGAGGAGAACTCCATGACCCACTTTCCGCGGGTTGCACATATTTACATTCAGCACAGCATTGCTCACTCTGTCTGGAACCCCGGGGGCTCTGGCAGCATGAGGTGCTCAGAGTGTTTCCTCCAGGTCTCAAAACCAGAGCCTCTCAGAGTGGGTCTGGTACATGATTAGTGCCGTATAACAACAACAACAGCGCAGAGCCTCAGAAGAGGTCATTGGCCATTCCCTAGGCACAGCATAAAAACTCTAAAAGCTAGAAAAAACTAGATAGTCTGGGGGCTTCCCAATCAACCCCTCGCAAGCCTTAGGGTAGAGAGGGGACAGGGCTGGAGGCAAGCGGAATTTGGAAAGGACGGTGGCGATGGGGACAGGGGATTCCAAACAGCACTGCTGCCCCAAGATAGGCTGCTGTACTTTAGGGTCTCAGACTTGTCTACGTTACATCAGGTACAAGAGAGCAGTCTAGGTTCAAGAGAGCCCAAAAGTAGCTTAGATCCCCCCCAGTGGGCCGTGAGAGACACAGCACAGAATCTCACCCCACAAGTCTATTTTACTTTTCTCTTCTATTCAGGCCCTTTGCTATGATATCTGAGCTCTTACTCTAGCCTATGCTACCCCTGCTAGACACTAAACACTCGAGCTATGTCTGCACTTAAATCCCTACAGCACAGACACTTGCTATGCTGACAGGAGGGGTTCTCCTTTCTCTGTAGCTAATCTACATCCCCGAGAGGTGGTAGCTAGGTCAATGGAAAAATTCTTTGGGTGACTTTGTGTGGTCAAAACCAGGGGCTATATCTAAAAATTGTCAGGTGTCCAGTTTTTTAACAGATCACCCAGTCAAAAAAGTACCCAAGCGGCTTCAGTTGGCACTACTGACCAAGCCATTAAAAGTCCAGGCCATGGTGCAGCAGAGCTAAGGCAGGTTTCCTGCCTGCCGTGGCTCCACACAGCTTCCGGAAGCAGCAGCATGTCCTTCCTCCAGATCTTATGTGTAAGGGCAGCCAAGGGGCTCTGGATGTTGCCACTGCCCCAAGTGATGGCTCTGCAGCTCCCATTGGCCGGGAACTGCAGCCAATGGGAGCTGTAAGGCGGCACTTGTAGATGGGGCAGCGCACAGAGCCACCTGGCAGCACCTCCATATAGGAATTGGAGGGGGGGGGCATGCTGCTGCTTCCGGGTCACCTGGAGCCTGCACTCCTGAGCTCCCTCCTCCCCATGCCTCTGCCCTAGCCCTAATCCCCTACCACACTCCAAACCCTTTGGTCCTAGCCTGGAGCACCCTCATGCTCATGCCCACCCAGAGTCCTCACCGCTTTTCACATTTTCTGCAAGCAACGGCGTGGGGGGAGGAGGGGACAAGGCCTCTGAGAAGGGTCAGGGCAAGAGTGTTTGATTTTGTGAGAGTAGAAAGTTGGCAGCCCTAGTTAGCTCAGTTTAACTATGTTGCTCCCGGGTGGGGGCTTTGGGGTTAATTTTTCCCCACTGAGCACTATAGCTGGATTGGTCTAATTTTTAGTGGGCATGGCCTCAGAGTATGTCTATACTGTTAACTGACTAAGGCTAGCCACTCAGGTTCAAGCCTACAGGGAAGCCTGGGGTTGAACTGAATTGAAAATTGTGTTATCTGTGTCTCTGCTTTTAGCTAACCTGAGATAGGAATAAGGATGTTAGCAAATACCTGGTGTTATAGTTACCGGTAAGCCTCACTCTTAACAAGTTAAGGGTGATGCTTGCCAGGTAATAGTTAACTGGTACTCCGGAGCAGCCCAGCCAGGCATTCCGTGCGGGACTGCCGGCTGCCAGCCCACGTGGGGAGGCTAGGAGCTGCAGTGGCATGCCCCACGACGGGGCCAGGAGCTGTGGTGGTAGACCCCTTTAATCAGTTAAACGATCAACCGTGTTAGCACTGTGTTTAATCAATGAAACTGAGGGTCACATCCCTAGTTAGGAATGCTTGGTTTTGGGGTTTTTTGTCGTGTAGACATACCATCAGAAGTGGGTGGGCAGAGTTAATGACAATGAGGAACAGAAATAGCCACTTGCAAGGAAAATCAGACGCTGCAACAACCACTCCGTCAAAAGGCACACGGTGGCCGTATTCTTCTGCCCTGCATGAGATAATGCTGTGCAATGACTGAGGCAAGGGTTCTATTAAAACCTGTGAGATCATAAAATTCACTATGATATCATAATCAGTGTTCCCTGACTGGGCGGGGCTGATTAATCACTCCCAGCACAGCTTCACAGGTGATTAATCAGCCCGGCCCAATCAGAGGCCCAGGGCCATGCTCCGAGCTGACTGACTGGGCGGGGCGGATTAATCACCTGTGAAGCTGTCCTGATGCACAGTTTAGAGGGAACACATAATACATATACACAAAGAAGCTCAATTAAGGTTGTATGAGCCACGTTAATGATGACATTTCTTGACTCCTGCATACTTGATCTTGCAACCTTAACACTCCTTTAACGTAGTATGTATAACTGTATACAGTAGAACAGGGCTACTCAACACGTGGCTCATAGCCTGTCTGTTTGCGGCCCACGGTGCGGTTTAGGTTTACACCGGGCTCAACACACGGCCCGCGGGTGGGAGGCAAAACAAAAAAGGAGTCAATGTAATGGTCTTCTGTTGCTATGCATTTTAGTAGTTAAATTCCTGGACTGTCATTGCTCATTAAAAGTGTTGTCATATAGGTGGAAATTGGGCAAATATTGTATTTTATTAATAGCAGAACTGACTTAAATGGGGCCTGCGTGTTGTCTTAATCTCTATATTCATGCCTGTCAGTGTGAAAGAAGCTATTTGGATATATTTGCATGTCTATGCAACCACACTTAAGCTGTGGCTCTCGGCATGTGCTGTGGGTATCATTGTGGCCCCCAGGGCTTCCAAAGTTGGGTAGCCCTGCAGTAGAACTTCAGTAATGAACACCTTGGAAGTCGAGGTTGTTCTGAACTCTGAAATGTTCAGAACTCTGAACAAAATATTTTTTTTTTCAAATGTTTACAACTTAACACTGATTTAATACAGGCTTGAAACTTTACTATGCAGAAGAAAATGCTGCTTTTAACTATCTTGATTTAAATGAAATAAGCACTGAAACAGTTTCCTCATTTTGCCAAACCTTTTTTTTAACTTTCCCTTTTTTTGCCGTTTATGTTTCACACAGTACTATACAGTACTGTACAGAACTTGCTTTTTTCTCCCCGCCCTGCTGCCTGTTTGCATACTTCCGGATGCAAATGAGATGTGTGGTTGACTGGTCATTTGTAATTCTGGTATTCATATCTCTGAGGTTCTACCTTATTTAAGACAGACTTACCTACAGATGAAGTTATTAAAAATGTCGTATTATTAAAAAAAACGTAACTTCACTGAAGCTTTAGAGGTATATTGTTTTACAGCAAGATTCTTTATAGAGAAGATTTATATCCGGGACGGGGGACATTTTTGAGTCGGGGGCCGCTGACCCACTTAAAATCAGTTGGGGGCTGCACACAAGTGAGAAGCAACCCCCCCCCCCTCCAAAAAACAAACAAAAAACCCCACACTTCACTCACAGAGGTGGCCTCCAACTGAGAAAGAAAAAGACATTCTCAACATTTCCTTCACACACCAAAGCCTTGTGGGGCCCAGGCTAGTAAGTTTTATGTGCTCCAGCCCCATGGGGAATGGGAGGGGAATGGGGGGGGGCGGGCTGGTGCACCAGCACAGGCTCCCCAATGCTGAGGCAGAGCTCTGAGCCACAGGGGCCAGATCCAAGCAGCTGGGGGCTGCATCCAGCCCCCGGGGTCTTAGGTTCCCCACCCCTGATTTATATGGAGTCTCTCAGAGTTTTGTAGATGCTTTGTGGTTACAGTGCATCATAAGCATAACTTAAATCAGGGATAGTACTTCTAAACCATTCCACAGCTCAGTTATTATCTTTTAATGACCATGATACTGTGATTCTATTCTTTTCCTCCTCCATACCTAGTATATTAATTAATATTTTATACTCCCTAAATTGTGAATGCAATTTACCATAACAGTGCAGAAAATAGCAAATACACATTGTACTTTGCCAATAGAAAATCCTTTACAGCTGTTTATTGCTCATTTGCAAAACATAAGAGCAATGGAATTCCATTACTTAGAGGAACTGGCTCTTCCATGATATCCTTGGCAACTAAAGCTGCACTTATCTTTTTTGAACAATTGACTTTCAAACTTTCCTCCTCTTACAAACAAAAAAGAGAGACAATAAGGGCACTTTTTAAACTTTTAAATGGCCTAATCTGACTCTCTATAAATTCCTTTTTGTTTCATGAAATCTAATACAGTTAACCCCCTCTCCTCCCCTCTCCAAAAAGTCACTCTCTGCAACTTATGAAAAATATTTCAAGCAACCACCTCTTTAACAGGGAGGATATTTTAGTGAGGTCAGGACTTCAGGAAAACTAGAGGAAATTCAGACTGCAGTCAGAATAATAGTAGGAGTCCAGAATAACATTTAAAAAATTACTTAGGCAAGCTTATAACCATCTGCACCAAAATTCTGTAACAGAAACTTTTGTCCTCGATCTGTTCAAAGCATTCTGCTACCCCTATTGAAATGTCTTAGAAACCAAGCTAAATAAAGTTACGGTTTATACAATAGATATTTCACATATGGTTTTAACTAAATAACTTAGAAGTCTCCACCAGCTTTAAAAAGAAATAACTGCAGCATACCAAATAGATGCTAGTTCTTCAGAAAGCCAGGACATGAACATACCAGCCATAATCTGGTTTCTATATTTAGATAAGAGCTCTACGTGAAGCCAGGAAGGTCAGCATTGACTCTCGTCAAACATATTTTAGCAGATATCTCTTCTAGACAACATTTACCAAGCTACATCTCTCCCAGTTCCATACCACAGATTATGCCTTACAGAAGACATAAGATGGAACTTGGCCTATTAAAAGAGACTGGGCAGCGTGTTCACATACCTCAATAATCCTGTCGTGAATCTGCAGCCCTCCTTCTTTGGCAGCAGGCCCACTGTCAATTATTTTCGATATAAAAATTCCTTCACTAGAGGAGCCATCTTGATTGTCCTTTAGGGATAAAAAGAAAACGAATATAACATTGTACCGTATACCAGCTCTAATTTGTCTAAAGCTGAAATTATAAATGACACTGCACACAAGCTATAAAATGCTCAGAGCCAACCTACAGGAATTAATTTCTATGGGCTAGATCAGGGGTCTCCAACCTTTTTAAGCACGAGATCACTTTTGGAATAGAAGTGCAATCCAAGATCTACCTCAAACCCCAATACCCTGGCCCTGCCTCCTTTGTGTCCCTTTTCCAACACCTACCCTGGCCCTGCCTCCTTTGTGTCCCTTTTCCGACACCTCGCCCCTGCTCACTCCATCCTCCCTCCCTCCCCCATCCTCCCTCACTTTCACCAGTCTGAGGCAGAGGGTTGGGGTGCAGGCTGTGGTCTTGGAATAAGGGATTTGGAGTGTGAGAGGGGCTCTAAGCTGAGCTTGGGGCAGGCAGTTGGGACGTAGGAGGGGGTTCTAGGTCCAAGCTCTGGGAGGGTGTTTGGATGCAGGAGTGCTCAAGGCTAGGGCAGGGGCTTGGGGTACAAGAGGGGGTTCATGACTGGGGTAGGGTTTCAGGATGTGGGCTCCAACTGGGCCCTGCTTAACTCCGGCTGCTCTTGGGTGGTGGTGCAGTGGGGTTAAGGCAGGCTCACCCCTGCTCTGGCCCTGCACCACTCCCAAAAGCAGCCCTGTTGTTCCCCCTCTCTGCTCTGTGGAGATAGGATACAGGGTGGGAGGGGGGGACCTTGACATCAGTACTCCTCTTCTCCCTTCCCTCCCCTGCCCTGCACAGCACAGCACAGCACAGCAAGCAGGAGGCTCCTGGGGATGGAGGGAGGCAGCTCCAAGGCAAACACCAGGTGATGTGCAGCAGTTGGGGGAGAGCCGCTGCAGTGCATGCACTTGATAGCCTCTTGGCCAAACCAGTCAGGGTCACCTGTCAGAGGCGCCAAGATCTACCAGTAGGTCCCAATCTACTGGTTGCTGACCCTGGGGCTAGATGCTTAAGTGCTGAGTGTCTACAGCTGTCATTTAAAAATGAAACCACAGACAGGCTTCTATATGTTCTCTCACTTCACACTGATAGTTACCTAAAGCCAGTTCCTGAGAGGTGCTAACCTTCTATTCATTTCTGCAACTATATAATGCAAGAGAACAAATGGATCTTTTTCTCTATCCAATCAGAAACAGCAATGGCCAACGAAACAAAACTAACAAGCTATTATTTTTGTCCCAGTGGGCCTGCACAATGAGCTCCCATATGTTCTAAAAGCAGCAGAAGTGTCGTTAAAATGTGTTAATTTTGAGGGAGAGAGGAAAAACTTCAATAAGAATCTGCCAAGAAAGTCCGCATTTCAGTCACATTCTTGAGGCAAAGAAGCTGTTCTAGCAAAGTTCAGTCGTTTCCTTTCCGAGCTAGCAGGCCAAGTTAAAGTCCAACACCTGACCTAATTCAGGTCACATGATGTTGACTCCAGCTGGTCAACATCAAGAGGAAAAACTGCTAGTAAATGTTCCTGTAAGAAGTTTAGGCCTGCACACTTGCACAGGCAAAACTGCCACGGAAACCAAGGAGTTCAGAACGAAGCAGACTGGGTTGTGTGAATTATATCCTTTCAACAATACAGTGGGCTGTTTAGTGTCCGAAGGAAGGGACAGTAAATTTCTGAAGCCTCACCAGCAAATGCAATTTGAAACAAGTTGTTAAAGGGCCCAATCCTGTCAACTTTGAACTCATTGGACTACTTATTGACAGAGGTGTGGTCTGCAGGAATGGGTTTTATGTGTTTCAGTGTGGATTATGCGATCCAGATGTGATGACACATCTATATCTCTTAAGTGTAGCTGGCTGCAATCATGGATGAAGAACAGTGATAAGGGGGAAAAGGAATGTGTAATCAGCGAAGACACTCCGTATCAGTGTGAATATAAGGCATGCATACTCTGAAACCATCTCCTATGGAGCTAAATATGCAGTCAACAGATTTTCTTTTTCCAAACACTGATCTACATGCTCTCCCTAACAGGAAAAGGCAAACACATTTTAACATACCACACATGGGCGGCCACCAATAATATTAAATCCAAGAGAACCAGAGTCACGATGCAGGACAAGAGTCAGTGCCTTAGTCTCTTCACCCTAGGAAAAACAGGTAAAAGCATTCAAAACATGCACATGTAGGCAGATGTTAAGATGAGTCATGCTTCCATCTAAATATTTAGTTTGCTCATGAATTCCAAGGGAAGCTGTTTATGGCCTGATTTGCAAGAGTGGTCAAGACCCACCATTCCCTTTGCTCCCACATTCTATCTATTGCTTTGCGCTTAGCCTTAGCTCTTCTAAAAATCCAGAATTTAACATTTATGTATTCTTTTCTTTTGTAAGCTAGAACAAAGAGAACCCTTTGCTGTACCCAGAGCTGGCCCAAGCTACTGGCTAACCAGGCTACCACCTGGGGCACCCCATTGTAGCAGGCGCCGCGCGGGGCTGCCAGGCTGGGCAGGGGCGGCGCAGTGCATGCACTGCGCACCCAGGGGCGGGGCTACGCATGCACCACACGCCCGGGGATGGGGCCACGCATGCGCTGGGTGCCCGGGGTGGGGGTTGCTGCGCACCATGGGGCGGGGCTGCGCATGCGTCACACTCCCGGGGACGGTGCCGTGCTCCCGGGGCCCAGTGCGCACGAATGGCTCGGGCCGGCCCTGGCTGTACCATGTGGCCCAGGTCCACAGCCACAGCCTAAGGAAATAAAAAAATGTTCCTACGCTGTGTACAGGCTGGACCTTCCTGGTCTGGTACCCTCAGGCCCTGTGTGATCCTGGAGGAGTGATTTTTCCACACCAGTGGAGTCAATTCTGGTCCCCTTGCCACTGGCCTCTACCTGCTCTGGCCAGGCTGCCTGCTGCCAGCTCCACTGTGCCCCGAGCTCTTGGGCCCACCAGGTACCCTGCAGCCTCATTACCGGGTTTCCAGCTCCACCGCCAGCAGCCCCGCCAGGTGGCCCCACCGGACAGCTCTACTGCCGGGCTCCCAGCCCTGTTGGACTCCCACCCAGCAGCTCTCCCCCAGGACTCTCTGATCCTGGAACATCTGTGGTCCTAACAGACTATGGAAGTTGCCGGATAATAAAGTCCCAGTTTAGAGAGGAACAACCTGTAGTAATTACAGCTACCTGATGTGATCATATTTGGTGTATCAAGGTCATTTATAATATGAAACCTGCCCTCTCTGATTGTTATGATTGATTCCTGGGATGGCATATTTATATTGCCTCTCTTTGTCTTGCTGTTTACATTACACTATCTTAAACAGTGAAGGAACTGAAGCAACACCACACATCAGGGTGGACTGATTTAAATCATTAATTTAAATCAAGTTATCAAAAAAGCTGAGACTGACGGTATGTCTACACTGCATGCTTATTTCAAAATAAGCTATTCCACAATATTTATTCTGAAATAGTTTATTTCGAAATAGCACGTCTACACTGCAGGGAAGCCTCAAAATTAGTCCGAGGCAGGCTTCCCTAATGTGGATGTGCTCCCTCGTCTTAGAGCCCCAGAAGGCTGATGTGTGGTGTTGCTTCAGTTCATTCACTGTTTAAGATAGTGTAATGTAACCAGCCATGGTGAGGGGCTTTCTGTACTGTATAGTCGGGTGATAGATTCTAAACCTAGTTAACTAATTAAACAAACCGTAAGTATTAGCTAAGCTAAACTTTTTTCCCTAGCAACATCCAACACAGCCAATAGCTTGGGAATTTGTCAAATCACACTTATACTAAAAGGCAAAGAGAATCCTGAAGAATGATGCATTGCAAAGTGAATTATTTAAGTTACTAACCAGTTGATCCACTCAGCCATATCCACGTTCTCATCCACATAATTTTCTCCCAATAAGCAGTTTTCCTTATGATGCTTCATTCTTGCAACTAGGCCCTGTATCGTCTTCTTGCACTGCTTACACTTGACATATTTTCCTTTTTTTACCCAGGGAACAAATTTCTTCAAAATATTCCCGGATAGAGTCTCTCTTACACCCAGAAGCCATGATAGTTTTTCGTGGCAAAAGTGTAGCGGGAGAGGGGTATAGGAAGCTGTGGGTGTGCAGAATAATGTTTTCCCCTTTTTCTTTCCAGTCCACTCCACTGTTCCTTTCTATGGTGCCTTTTCCTTTTCCTATATACTGTCTCTGTCTTTAAGACCATGTCTTAACTAACTCCACTGCTGTGCTTGGCCAAGGTCCACCATCACATAAGCACAGAACAAAAACAACCCTACCCAGCCTCTGTCTCTTCACATGTGACTTTTTAGTCTGCTGAGAAACAGCAACTGAAAGCACAGAACTTTCAAGAAGCAAGAGCTGGTAGTTAGGCTGGACAGACTAGAGCCATTAATTCATTTTTATGAGACTGTAAGTGTAGCGGCGTAGCATGTTTATAACTTATAAATAAAACACTAAATTTCTCATTTAAAATGATTTTTAAAAAATAAAAAAAATCCAATTTTAAATAAAATATCCAATTTAAATTAAAAAAATCTGATTTTTAATTAAAAATAGATTTTTATTCATCCTGGCAGATATGAAGTGTTATGAGACAGCAATTCTCTTATAAATTTTAGCAGGCAGAACTGAGAAAACACCAGACTCCTGTTCAAAGTGACTATTACAGAAAGCAATTCCACTGAGATTCTAATTAATTTGGATGCTCTCTAGCAAAGCTTAACAGTGATAATAATAGCAAACCTCCTTCGCTGAGAATTCCCCAACTCCCAAAATAGAGAACCCTACACTAGCAGGTCTCTGGTTAGACCAGCGGGAAGGGAGATCCATTTCATGCAAGATGCGCAATACAGAAGAGGTGAAGGAGATACTCCACATGAACATGATCTGCTGTCTTGTCCTGTGACCCAAGCTTGCTCCCAACATAAGAATGTCATTGGCTTATATAATAACATCCTTTCTGTAGAAACGCTGAAGTATCATCACCCCTCTTAGTTGGGTTAAATTACACAGAAGGCAAAATTAAATTCCTACACTGTTAATGAGGATCTATTTCAGTCTCAGTCAAGTAGCAGTTAATAATAGCACCTTAAGTCTGGGGGAGGAATCCCCATTTTTGTATCTTATGGGTTTCAGAAATGAGACTGTACAGATATTCGGAGTGATAAGGTGTGTATCTAAATATAGATAAGATACAGATAAATCTGATTATAAGTTGAACTTTGCTATCTGCAAATTTCTAAATTTCTAACTAAAAAGGTGGAAAAAGTTATGAACACTTAAGTTATCTGACACGTCTGGTTTTCATAAACAAATTAATGACATAAATTACAACAGTTCCTTGGTAACTCAATGCACATATTTTTAAGTTTGCTCATTCTTTTCGCATATCAACTTGAAGTACTAAATCAAATATTAGAAATGTCTAAATGTCAAAGCAATCCAATATCTCTGAATCACTCATGGAAAAAAGTGATGGGGCCAAATTTTCTGCTGTTGAAAATTGGCAACGTTCCAATAACTCAGTAGTGTTTGACAGAGGGACTCTCGGTGTGTTCCTCCAGCTGCTCAAAAGCATCTCCTTAGTGGAGCTGCATCAATATATACCAGCTGAGAATTCGGCCTAGAATGTTCCTCAGTTGTTTTCCTGCAGATCTCACATAAGTAGATTGAGATCTGACCCCAAGAGGTATGGAGCATTCAGAGCTTCCATTGATTTCAAGTGAACTTGCACATACTTAGCACCCATCAGAAATCAGACTTGCAGGGAGGAAGGAAGTACTAGGTGTTTTCCTAGACATTTTCAAACCCAGACATTAAATAATATTTCAAGGAGAAAACTTCCAGTCCTGTGAGACCACTTTTAAGGTCTGGTAGGTTCAACAATTGAAACTAATATGCCATTATCACAAAAGCAGTTTTTCTCTCCTTTCTATGACACTCCTTTATGAAGGCAAATTGACAAGGTCACTCAAGAAACCATGACTCCACTGCTCTCTGAATGGTTGCTGGGATTAAAACGGAGTTAAGTATTTCCATTACAACTCTTGATTTGGGGGTGGATTTTATACTTTTAATACCTAGGAATAGGTGTTCACTATTGTTGGTCCCTCTCCCATCCCCTCATTTCCACAGTTTGAGTTAAGCATATAGGAGGGTTTTGGAGCAGGCTAAACATATTGGAAAATAATCTTTTTATTTTTAACCTTTTTCATGAAAAATAGCCTTGGTTGTTTTTTTAAGATCCCCAAGCAACTCTATTCTGAATCCTTCCTGCTCCATCAGACATCACGTACAAGGTTTGCCATCCCAGTTGTCACTTGAAGCTGTAATTTGTATGTTGTCAGTGCTGTGCCCCACAAAATTTTCCCCTCAGTAGTTTTTGACAGAGGGACTCTTCCAGGATCCCCCTTTGGTGTTTTCCTCCAGCTGCCCAATAACACGCCTTCCTTCCATGCCACTTGATCTGGCTTCATTCTTAAAATATGTTTCAAATATTTCTGTCTTCTTTTGTGTATAACTTTGGAAATAAGGGTTGTTGAACTCTTTGCATATGGCAATGCAAAGTGATTATTCCACCATATGTGCTAAAATATCCAGGCACAAGCCACCTTGCAATGTATTCCTCTTATATTTTGTTACTTTTGTGGATTCATATCTCAATGCTCGGGGAAGGGGGCTTTAAACTTCTTTGTATGCACATTAATGAAGCTAAAAAAGGGAACGATTCTAGTAGGGCTTGGTGACTTTCTCTTCTTCCCTAAAATGTCTTACATTCCAGTGAACCAAACATTATACAGTGAAATAACTGGCGATGTAATGGCCAGCATCCTAGCCCTGCCCATATCATCTGGTTCTGCAGCACACCCTGATGGCTCCTGGCATGCTATATTCCCACAGCTAAGTAAAGCTCTTAAATATAATTTTGGAAATTACTGTATCCACCCAGTTATTTTGGAGCTAATAGACTATCTCCTGCATTTTATTCTCTACACTAGACATTTCCTCATTTCTTTAGTGATGCAGTAGCTAAGAAAATATTTCTTACCCACCAGAGAAACTCTCTATGAAGAATACAG